AGGAGTAGGAAGGCTGACGTTTCAGGCCTAGACCCTTCATCAGAATTCTAGGCCCGAAACGTCAGCCTTCCTGCTCCTCTGATGCTGCTTGGCCTGCTGTGTTCATCCACCTCTACACCTTGTTATCTCAGATTCTCCAGCATCTGCAGTTCCTACTATCTCAGGACTGAACCTTGGTTGGTTGATGAGCTACCAAACCTGATGAAATCGTGTCTGCATCACTTCAAATCACTGCCCTCTGCAGCTTCTTAAAATGGGCAATAATAATAGAAATGCAACATTGGTGTAGCAGAATTTTAAAGCTTTTGAACTCCCCTCCCCACTTGCTGAACCAGTTCCAAGTTACCTTCATTTCATCGGGCACGAAGACTTTGCGAGCTTTTTTAATCATCGGCTGGGGTTTCAGTTCCTCATCTGTGAACTTACGCTTGCGAGGGTCAAACATCTCCTGGCCAGGGATACTGGACAGTGCCAGATCGGCAGGGTCTGGGTCATAGCTGACTGGCACTTGAATGCTTTCGGGGTCGATCGGGCTGGGAGTGTTACGGCCTGGTGCCAGTACTGGACCTGCAGATACACAAAATCAAAATCAGATACAGAACCGTAAAAGCACAGAAATGGGCCAGCTGGCTGATTGATATGGTCTGCATAAACATTTTCCCATCCCTCCTCAACTAACACACCTCCAATGTATCAAAAATAAGGGCATCAGTAGGCCATTCAGTCCTTTGAGCCTGTTCTGTCCTTCAGTTTGTGCTGGAGTCTCTGCTGTGGAGCGGAAGCCAATATCTTTCTGACTCATGTTGTGGACCAAACCAAACCCCCTCAAAACATGTCAAGGAGATAGGCTTGGCCGAGCCAGGGGGTGGGGGAGTGTTTGGGTGGGGTGTGGATGGCGGCAGGGGGAAGAGGTTGTGTTGAACCCTTGTGAGGAGTTCGAACCCAGCACGGCCAGGCGTGTGGTGTTAAACAGTTCACTGTGTTTCTTTGTTTTTCCACTTTTTGGTAAGAAGAGCTGTAACGTGTAACTTTTTAAAAACTTTGTTTCTTTACTTTTGTGCTTTGTACCAAGAATCTGCACCTGGGCACCTTTGTACCTGAGATGACGCTGTAAGTGGTGACTTGTAAACTTATCGTTGTACTCATGTGAATACAGTTGATAATAAAGCTAATTCATAATTCATAACATTTTCTTACTCCAGATGCAATTCAATTAGTCAAACTATCAGGTTATTCATACACTATACAGTTGCAGTCATACAGCATGGAAACAGACCCATCAGTTCAACCAGCACCAAACATAATCCCAAACTAAAAACAAAAGAAAGGATTAGAATAACT